GCAGCGCCCGCCACTTCAAAGAGGGGGAGACACACTGGGGAGGGGCGTGGGGTTGCTCCGAGCGCTCCCCCACCAACCCACAGGGGCATATATAACCCTTACTGGTATGCTGGGGCATAGGGGAGCGCCCGCAGGCTCTGGAGTGGCTGGCACCTCTGGGGGAAGTGACCAAGACGTATCCACATGCCCATCTTAACCTACCAGTCCCCACTCCCCCAAACCAGGGAGAGAACCCAGGAGTCCTGGCTCCCAGCCGCCTCTGCTCTAACCACTAGCCCCCACTCTCCACCCAGGTCTGGGGAGAGAACCCAGGAGTGTGGGGGGGGGAAGAATGGGGGGGACACAATAGTTATTTAATGGGAGCGGGGGTGAGAGGCCAAACGCTCTATAATGATTCAAACACAGATCACCACCATCCCCAGCTGCCGTTTTCCGGCACTATCTTTTCTCTGGCGCAAGTGCCGGTTGCTGGCGTCTCCCCGGAAAATCCGCACGCTGCGGAACGGTTGCAAGACGCGGGCCCGGAGCTGGAGGAGGCTGCGGGGCGGATGTGGGAACGGCCAGCGGGGATCTCGGAGGTTGGCAGAAGAACGACGATTGTTCCGTGTCCAGCTGGGGGTGGAGAAGAAGGAGCTTGCGGCCAGGGCGATACTCAGACCAACTTTCTGGCCCGGATTACCTGGCGTCCCCCGCGCTGGAGGGTTTTAAGAACAGGTTGGGGACGCGCCTGTCGGGATGATACGGGTTTCCGTGGCCTTGCCTTGGCGCATCCCCCCATCATGCTTCCTCTTGGCCTGACGTTTCTAGGACTGTTACCCCCACATGGGCCCCCAAAATTTGTCATGGCTTCCTGAGTGGCTGGGCCTTTCCCCCTTTCCTCCCACCAGTCAACTTGGGGCGGTGTCACCTGGTTCTTCGTTGCTCCCTTCCCGCCGCTGCGTTAACCGCCGTGCAAAGCCGAGAGGGAAACCGAGGCACGGGACAGGCTCATAAACGCATCACAGCAACTTCCCGCGGCGGCAGGCGCGTCTGATAAACATGTCTCCTGGGGCAGGCCGCTGGTCTGGCTCTGAGTCCACCAGCAGGGCAGCCGGGCGCCATGCAAAACCGGTGCCTGATTTGGAGTTGGTATGGGGACGGGTCCCGCTTTTCACGGCGAGGTGGAAGAGCCCTTTGAACCGGGGTATTTTCTCCCCCTGCAGGTGTTTGCGAACGGTATAAAATTGCCCCTTGGGTCAACGAAACCTGTTGCCTCCTGCAAGTGCCCTCTGCAGCCCTGGAATTTCGTGGCTTTGATCTGCACCCAGAGCTTCATAGGTGCATATCAGAGCGGCCAGACTGGGTCAGGCCAAAGGTCCATCTAGCCCAGAATCCTGTCTGCCGACAGTATCCAATGCTGGGTGCCCCAGAGGGAATGAACAGAACAGGGAATCAGCAAGTGATCTATCCCCTGTTGCCCATTCCCAGCCTCTGGCAAACAGAGGCCAGGGACACCATCCCTGCCCATCCTGGCTAATAGCCATTGAAGGACCTGTCCTCCATGAACTTATCTAGGTCTTTTTTGAACCCTGTTCTAGTCTTGGCCTTCACAACATCCTCTGGCAAGGAGTTCCACAGGTTGACTGTACGTTGTGTGAAGAAATACTTCCTTTTGTTCGTTTCAAACCTGCTGCCTGTTCACTTCATTGGATGACCCCCTAGTTCTTGTGTTATGAGAAGGAGTAAATAACACTTCCTGATTTACTTTCTCCGCACCAGTCATGATTTTATAAACCTCTATCATATCCCTGTCCTCTCTTTTCCAAGCTGAAAAGTCCCAGTCTTATGAATCGTTCCTTATACAGAAGCCGTTCCAGACCCCTCATCATTTGGAGGTGGGGTAGAGCAGTAGCTCCCCACCGGTTGTATGTTGTTCGGTGTGATATGACAGCCCTGGTCCTGCCCCGCCCCCGGTCGCGCCGGGTGCTGTACAAACCCAGAACAAGGAGCCTGCCCCAGCCCCGGTGAGTTTACGTGCTCTGCTAAGGGCGGAGTTAAGGGTATATCCCGCCTTGACCCGCCGGGGAGAAACCAGCACTGAAAGGAATGAATGGCGAGTGGTTCCAGGCTTGAGTCTGAAGCGAGGGAGGCCGGGCACCAAGAAGTGGGGCAGAGACCCCCAAAGCCAGGGCTGTGTCTTAGGCTTCGATTCCCCCCGCCCAGTACCAAGGGCGAACTCCCGGTCATCCCTGAGGCTGGCTGGCCACCTGGGTAAGCTGGACTAAGTGATCCACAGGCACTCGCCCCAACCAGCCCAAAATATTCAGGTCGCTCCCTGGCCCGAGAGATCAGGCCCTGAGCCCGGGGCAGCCAGGCCGCCAGCAAACTCCCTGCGGATTTAACGAGGGGGACAAAGCAAGGAGTTCTTGGCTGGTTCAAGCCGGGGGACGTGTCCACCCAACTGGGTACGTCCGTGGTTCCCAAAGCTGGACAGTCTCGGCACTGAGCAGCCGTCAGGGGGGCCCTGGGGGTCTTGGCATCTGGTTCCCGCGAGAGTCCAAAGAGCAGCGAGCGAAGGATCAGCCGTTCTCGGGCCCTCGGCTTTTATGGCCTGCTTCCCGAATTGCAGGCTAGGGGCCGAGCCCGCTTGCACGTAGCCTGGGCATGGGTGTGGCGGGGCTCTCCGCCCAGGCTGGGTGCTGGGAGGGGCCCCGTTCGCAGCCGCTGGGCCACACCCGGGCGAACGGATTCACCGGCGGGCAGGTGCCGTTTGCTCCCTGGCGGGCCAGGTTCAGAGCCCAGGTTTTCCCAGGGCGGGAGCAGGCACAGAGGTAGCCCGGGCCAGCAGGGAAGATGGGCCCCAGCGAAGCAGCGTTTCGTGGAGTCTAAACGCACTGGGATGAGTTCAGGACCCACCTTAACCGGGCCAACGCCCAGGCCAAAGAGCCGGTTTCGAGCCATGAATGTGTCAGTGCTCAACTGAGGCCGAAAGCCTCGGGAAAAGCTGGCACCTGGTTGGCCACCGTCGCACCCAGGAGCCCTGACTCCCATCTGTTCCCCTCCCAGACCTGGGAGAGAACCCAGGAGTCCTGGCTCCCAACCCCCCCACTGCTCTAACCACTAGCCCCCACTCCCCTCCCAGAGCTGGGCGAGAACCCAGGAGTCCTGGCTCCCAGCCCCACCCACTCTGACCACTGGACCCTACTCCCCTCCCAGAGCCAGGGAGAGAAACCAGGAGTCCTGGCTCCCAGCTCCACCTGCTCTAACCACTAGACCCCACTCCCCTCCCAGAGCTGGGAGAAAACCCAGGAGTCCGGGCTCCCCGCCCCCACGGTGAGTAGGCTCCCTGCCCAAAGGTGTTGCTAAAACAGTGCCCAGGCCCCCAGAACAAACACACGCAGGCTCCTCTCCCAGCTCAGCTCCAGCTGACGTAGCCTTGAACCTGCCGCGCCTGGATGTAAACTCCCGAGCCGGCCGGACCCGCCCTGCGGCCTCCTCCCCCCCCGGCTCTTAGGGGTCACAGACAGAGCTGAGACAGTCCCACTGCAAGACAACACCATAGAACCCAGGAGTCCTGGCTCCCAGCTCCCCCTGCTCTAACCACTAGACCCCACTCCCCTCCCAGAGCCAGGGAGAGAACCCAGGAGTCCTGGCACCCAGTCCCCCCTGCTCTAACCACTAGACCCCACTCCCCTCCCAGAGCCAGGAAAGAACCCAGGCGTCCTGGGTTCCCCCCCACACACACACACACTCCCCAGAGTCTGTCTCTGTGACCAGTGGGTCACTCTGGCCCAGGTTGGTTCCCCCCGAGTCTGGGCTGGGCTCCCGTTTCCCTCCATTGTTCTCCCTGGTCCGGCTCCGGGGGAATTCGATCCTGGTTCAACCAGTCCCAGCCGGAGCTGCCTGGTCACTCTGACCCCGGCTGCGGGGAGTGGGGCGGGGGGTCAGCGGGGGCATGGGGCTGCAGGGAGTGGGGCACAGGGTGGGCGGGGGCGCTGGGCTGGGG